AAGGGGACTTATCAATGAGAGCACACCAAGGCCAGCTGGACTGGGACTGAATGAGCATGTGATCAAACAGGGTTCTCTGAATGTGGCTGACATGGGGGCTGACTGAGAAGTCATTGACAATGGCACTGGGTCTTGTTTCGTCTGCATGTACTGGCTTTTTGGGATCCTGGTCTATTTGGATGCTCACCTTCTTGGACCTGGAGGGAGGGGGGAGGAACTTGGATTTCCCACAGGGCAGGAAACCCTGACTGCTCTTGGGAATGGTGAGGGAGGAGGAAAGGGAGTGGGGGGAGCGGGAGCGTATTGGGAGGAGGGAAGGAAGTGGAAATTCTTTAAATAAATAAATAAATAAAAGACACCAGTTGGTACACTGTATAAATTATCTTAAAAATCAAAGGAATCCATCTTAGACATAGGGTATTGCCTCTTTAGTCTAATACAGGAAATTACTGTATCATTGGACAATAGGGGCACCTAGAAAATCTGATTACAGCCTACCTTTAAAAAAACAACAAACAACAAACAAACAAACAAACAAACAAAAACCATACAAGAAAACTGAGCACCCAAGTTACCATACCACAGATCTAGCAGGAATACATTCAGAACAGGGAACATAACATTGAGGTATGAAGTCCCAAAATTGCAAAGTAAGGAAATTGAGGAGACAGTAAAGAGCAAGGAACTCCATGGTCTCAATATAAGAAAGGGTGTCCATATGCTGTACCATAAGTGGTAACCAAAAATACCAAAATATGTCATTGTGTTTTGTTTGCTCTCTGTATGGCTCCCGAGTCATCTGGGACAAGAGCCCTTGAAAGAGTTGGGGTGGGCAATGTGCACACATCCACATTGGCACTGTTGTTTTGTACATGGGGAAACTCAGAAGAAGAAAGCATTCCATGGTGCCATTCTGTTCCATTCAAGTGAAATAATCAAGGTAACGCCATCCTGTCCCAACTTTATGCCTGCCTGGTCATATCTCAGTCTTCCACCCCCTAACAGATACTTCTGCTTTGTGAATGCTTCAGGGATTGTCTATGACCTTGACCATGGCTCAAAAGTGAGTCTAGAAGATCCCTCTGAGCCCTGCAAGGACAGCAGATGTAAAGAAGCTGCTCTAAATCCCTCACTAATATAATACATGCCACCCAGCACTGATGTAATTATGTATTTTTCTTTTATAACACGGTACCCCTGAACTTGGGCACCAAGAGACTTTTCAGAGTGATGAGCCCACTCTTGGTCTGGCCATTAATAAAGTTAATTTCAAGATGAAAAACCAGTTATTTAAAGATACAGATATAAGCAAGGAAAGAGCAGTGATGTTAACTTTTAATTGGCGTGATCAGCATGGCCATCAGTAACTATCTCATGTGGATTATTACACAAGGATAATGTGGGCTGAGACAGTATCTTTCACTTTGTGTTATCAGACATTTCTTTCCTTTAGAAACCCACTGTTAGAAACAGTTAAACCTGACTTAAAGTTGCAGCAGTCTTATGTGTACATCTACCCACTTAGATGATCAACTGCCTAGGGACCACATGATTTAAAGGGCTAAGTCACTGGTCCTGTGGGTCATGATCCCTTTGGGAGTTGCATATCAGATATTCTGTATACAACGTATTTACATTATGGTTCAAAACTAGCAAAATTAGAGTTATGAAGTAGCAATGAAAAATTTTGTGAGTTAGTACAACATGAAGAACTGTTTTAAAGGGTCACAGCATTAGAAAGATTGAGACCCACTGGCTAAGTGCTGGTGTTACAGGGAGCTCACCAGAGATGACCACTTAGACAGTTTGTAGCTATTTAAAAGTCGTTATTCCAGCTGTCTAGGACTACACTCAGGTACTCAGTACCTAAGTGTTTAGGTTATGGGGTTTTTGAAGGCAAAAACCACATCCTGGTTATCTTGCTTGACAGCTGCAAGGGGAAGTTTTGGACAAGGAAGCAGTTTACAGAAGCTAAGATAAGCAGTAAGCAGGAGGGGATGGTTTGCACAACAGAAGCTAAGCTAGGTGGGGCATCTTGACCTCCTAGTATAGAGTTGGGTAATTCTCACAAGATATTCCATCAAGATCAAATTTTAGTTAGCCTAAAATGGCCTCTGCAATACAAGATGAAGGAACCTCTGCACTGTCTTGCCCTGTCTCACTGGCACCCTCTTTTTTGCCCAGGGACTTGAGGCCTAACAGTGCCAAAATGCTTTGCTCTCCTTTCTTCCCCTAAACAGCATGACCCAAGATCTCCCCAGAACTGAGAGATAGTAGTTTAATGAAAGAAGTGGGAATCCAGAATCTTGGAATATGCTCACATGTTCTGTCCTCAGAACTTTTAAGATTCCATCTTGGTTGCTATGTTACAGAAAACTTTAGGAAAGCCCCATGTTGGATGCTAGATGGTATCAGGAAAATCGGTGTTCCCTGTCATAGGTTCTTAGTTTGTTAATAAAAGAATTTTAAAAAATGAACTCAGAAGGAAGTTTGGGGACAATTTTAGTCTAGGAAAAACAACAGGGAATGGAGGTCAGCAAGTAGACTCATGATAAACAGCAGCCACGTGGCATGGCAGAAAGGAAAAAGACCTGTTAGCTCCAGAAAAGAATGAGAAAGTCCACTGTTCATGAAAGCATGCTGAACAAATTGAAAAGGAAAAGAAGAAAAAGGAAGCTTAATACTTCCCGAGTAAAAAAAAGTTTCTGAAAGGAGGTAGGATTAGCAGAGCTATATAGAGGCAGCTCTGGAAGCAACTGTATGGCAGTAGTTCCTAGGGAAGGTCAAATATATAATATCATTAGATAATATTAGATAATAAATAATTTATAATAGATAACAATATAATAGAAAATATTTAGATAATTATATAATAATAATTAGATAATTCCTATTTCCTTCCCATGAATTCAGTGAATCAGGATTCAGGGGTGGTCTCCTGGAGAGATGATAGGCACAGCTGAAGTAACTTTAAAAAGTATTTTCTGAGGATTTCATATGTGAATGCTTTCTGAGACTACTGTAACAGTGTGGCCAAGAATCTTGGTTTTGTCTGAGTTTAGGTCCCTAAAAGGCAAGGGAACACCTTAGGCTGCAGGTGACAGCATGGAGCTAGGCTTCTGCCTCTGTCACCACTGACTCTGTGTGTGATTGTGTGAATTTCTTAACCTATGACCTTGATACCAATAATAATGAAAATCCTATACGAACTATAGAAGAAAAAGAAAAATATATGCTAGCAAAACAACAGAAATGAATGTTGTTTGGCACAGCACAGAACACTCTTAACCAGCGGCACTGGGCAGAAAACCAACATTCTACTTGGAACTTGCATTCATTCTCAGTCCAGACTTTGTAACTGCCACTTTCCAGCACTGCTCCCACAGACACAGGGCTTGTCACTACCGACAGTAGTTGTTCTTCGGAGTGATTTTCAATAATAACACTTTGCTAAAAACAGAAACATCTCCCAACATCTGGAAGTTCTGTGAGGACTTTCTTATTCCAAAAGTATATTTGTAAACCTCCCATCAGACTGTAAAACAAGGCACCCAGGCATCATGCTAGGAGTGGAAGGGGACTGGGATTTCAGTCAGTGCCAAGATAGTACCATATATCTTGCAGGAAAGTCTTGAACTGAGATGATGGGTCAATGATAAGTGGGACTATACTTTGACCAAAACTGCTTAGCTAGACATAACTCTTGCCCTCTATTAGAACTATAAGTCAGTATCTAAAAAGGAATTCAAATAGGTCAACTAATGAATTGATTTTTGTTTTGTTTAGTAAATAACTTTCTGGTAGTAAACTTGTTTCTACGGTAAGATTGATTAATGAAATGATATTTCACAGATAGCTTTGGGGACCATTTGTTGTGGGCACTAGAGAGGATTCAGAGGTTGAAATATGACTGTTATTGGGTTAGTTTCACAACCTGTGCCCCAACAAGTCATGTTTGACTACCTGTCCTTGATAAATCCAAATCAACAGTAAAAGGAAAGGAGATTTTTATTCAATGTAACCACAGAGAGAAGAGGAACAAAGAACCAGTGACACCCCTAAGTGCAGTTTCTGGGTCCTGAAGTGAGGTTAAATAGTCCTGGACCCATCATTTGGCTCTACCCTTCAACAAGGTGGTCTGTCAAATTGAAAATCTCTTTCTATAAGAAAAGCTTCCTTTTTGGCTGACTCAGGCTTTAGGCTTTCTCCCAACATGAGATTTTTCTGGAGAACTTCCAATTCCCCAAGGCCTAGCTTTTCAAGAGTGAAATAGCAAAACTGGGGAGCACAAGTGCCACTGCTGCCTGTCCTCAGGTCCGCCAAGCCAGTTACACAATGAGATGGCAGAAGACTAAAGAATCGATACCAGCAGTTAGCTCCCCACTTACCACTGTTTACTGGACATAGCCCGGTGACTGGCAAGTGGCTTTTCTGGAGGTTTGTTCTTTTAGTAAAATTCATCTCTATGCAAAGATCTACCAGGAGTTTCTTTGAGATTTCTTAAGTTCTGCTGTATGCCTAACCTTTGGACTGTCCTGACTTGGCCAAATTTCCAACCTGAGTTATCAATAATACACCTATTTTTGAATATTTGTTTATTCAGGTGCACTGAGGACTGGAGTATTATTTTAGATACTATAATTCTCTTAAATTCTTTTTAGCATGCCTACACATGTACCAGTGTTTTTCACAAATGTCCATTATACATATACATGTATTATATAACACACCTTATGAATTCATAAGCATAAAAGGTTACATACATAAAGATTAAATAAAGTGTAATAAAAATGAGCATCTCTGTACTCACCACCTGAAAAGAACAATACCTAATGGCTCTGAAACCTGAGAATCTCTGAAACCTTTTCCCTATTTTTATTCAGTATTTTTATGCATTTAAATTTTTTTACATGTACTATCTATAAAAAAACATATGGTAACTGTGAAACAGAATGAGCACTAGTAAGTGAGAAAAATATTTGAAACAACTAACCATGGTCTGAAGCCATTATTGTGACTTTATTACAATAGTTACAAACAACATTTTTGTTGTATACAATCATCACAATTACTCAAATTATATACAAATAGGTATTTATACAAGTCTACATAAAAAAATGATCCCCCCAATCACATTATCAACAAGAGTTTTTCTAAAAGTTATGGCCAATAACAAAAAAATTCACAGTTACTCTGCAAATATTTTAAATGCAGAATCATATTGCACATAAAACAATCATAAATTTTATGTGTATATTTTATGTAGTTTTCCATAAAATTTATATTTTCATGCACTACTTTACTGTATACAGAATGGTAGAACTAGAATAAACAGATTAACTTACAAACTGTTACAATAATAGTCACAAAATTAGAATTATTTAAAGTAATATTTAAAGTTATGCTGAAAAAGAAATCCAGTGTAATAAAACTTAACGGACACAATCAGGTTTTTCACAGATCAAGCTACTATTCTAGTGTTCTTCTTTGTCTTTTCCTTTCTTTTCCTTTTCATCCTGCAGTGCAGTGCCAAGTTTTTTGATGAGAACAGACAACACCTTGTCCAGTGGGTCCATCACACCTCTCTGAAGCCATTTAGGAATAGTAGTCCTGGCATGGTGAAAGCCCAATTTTTGAAGAATATAATCAACACCTACTGGATCAATCTTTCTTCCAGTCCAAGAAATTAATCTAAAACAGTAACGAGAAAAGGTCATTGTCAAGGCATAAGATCCATTTGCATACCCCTGAGGGTAGGTCCATGAACATTATTGCACTCCATTAATATTGTCTGGGTAAAACACGTCAGCAGATATATTTGAATACTTGAGTCTAAAAGCCTTAGATTTATTGTAATAGCTTTATGAAAACAATTTATAGGTGATGATACGTCTCTGACATATTACATACAGCAACAATATTAATGGAATTCCAGTGTGCTTAATTTATTTCAGGCCTGTGACATCTTAAATATTTAAAAGGACAACTGGTTAAAAGACTTCATAAGAATGTGGTTGTAATAAGGGAAAAGCTAAAATTTACTGAGTGCTATATGCTAAACATGTTTGAAAGGAGAACCATTTTCTCCCGGATTTTGACATTTCATTTCTTGTGGAGGACAGGTTACTGGTAACTCACTTCTTGGACCTTCAGTCTATAGAAGATTTGTCTGACTGGTAAAGTTAATAGAGGAACTGAGTGGTGTGTTAAGTATTTCCTGACTTTTTTTTCTTTTTTGAGGGATGTACTCATATTGGTGTGTTCCTACCTCATTTCTGGGCTTGCAAAAGATTAGTTCTAGGTGCTGAGTGATGCCTATGGCTAGGTGAGCACATAGGTAAGTATTACCATTTCTTTTCAAAAATAGGAAACTAAAGAAGGAAGAGAAGACAGGCCTTTTGAGCTTGACTATTGAACTACTCTGTGGTAAAGTCAAGCTTGAAGTCAGAGCTTGCTGCAGGAGCGCCTTCCGCTCCTTCAGCCAATAGCCACCAAGATACCAGCCCACCGTGGTCTATTTTTCTTTTAAAAAGAGCGGCAGTCCTCTACTCGCTCTCTTGCTTCTGGCTCTTGCTCCAGCAACTAGACTCCTTTCCTGGCCGTCAGTGTTCTGTAAGTTTTTCCCCTAAAATAAATACCCCTTTTGAATCCAAACTTGTGTGGGATTGTTTTGCACATTAAGAGCTTGTTAACAATATTCTTTAGCACTCTATACTATTTATCATTTTTAGTCATGAGCTTGCTAAAAATGGAATGTAGTAACTTTTTATATTCACTTGAATCTTCATTTATAGTCAATTTAAATACACAATTAGTTCCATTATAATTTAGATTTACAAGTCTAAAATATATCTTCCAAATATTTTGCTGCATTTGTACCTCTAAAAAATTCCTATGTTGGCCTTAATAATAGCAATGCTAAGATTTCTCATAAAAAAGTGTTCTGTTGATTTGGTTAAGGCAAATTTTATTGGCTATACATTACTAACAAGCCATAGCTGTACACGATAAAATTTTGTTGTTTTGGAGTTATTTTGTGATACAAATATATCTGCATAATAATTTAATTTAATAAAAATATCATCTTGCTGAACACTGGGATGGAGTCAATTTTTGGCTACCATCCAAGGATTTGGAACATTACAATTTGAATAGAAAGTAGATGAGAAAAACAGAAAGAATGTTAATCATAAACAACAACATACAAAGCAGCACCACTATAACAACCATTGTAATTAATACTAGAAAATACTTATGAAGATTTGATATGCAAAGTAGTTGGTATGTCATGACTGTGGAAAAATATGACCCATTAAAAGTAACTATTAACTGATAGCATTAAGTTCAGCATTGTAGGCATGGTTTTATATTGTTTAGCATGCAAAAAGAAGACATTGTGATACTGTGGAATTGTCATAACTCATATCCTGTAGAAACTCTGACAGTTCCTTATTAATGATGTGTGATGACTTTACTGGCTGGTTTTGTGGGTCAACTTGACACAAGCTAGTGTCTTCAGAGAGAAAGGAGCCTCAGCTGAGGAAATGCCTCCATGAGATCCAGCTGTAAGGCATTTTTCTCAATTAGTGATCACTGGGAGAGGGCTCAGTCCATGGTGGGTGGTGCCATTCCTGGGCTACTTGCTAGTCCTGGGTTCTATAAGATGAGTTGAGCAAGCCATGGGAAGCAAACCAGCAAGCAGCACCCCTCCATGGCTTCTGCATCAGCCCCTGCCACCAGGTTCCAGTAATGCCTGAGTTCCCATCCTGACTTCCTTCAGTGATGAACAGCAATGTGAGAGTGTAAACTGAATAAACCCTTTCCTCCCCAATTTGCTTTTTGGTTATTTTGTTTTGTAGAAGCAATAGAAACCCTAAGTAAAGACAACTAATGGGTCTTGATACTGTGGGTGCCTAAAATTTAAAATTAAGGTCCTCATCAGAAGGTGAAGAAAGGTCAACAGCATAAGGAGTTACTCTTAAGGAGTTTTTATTGAGCTACACATTTTTCTCTGTTCCCTTCCCTTCCTCCCCTCTCCCCTTCTACCCCAGGTAGATCCCTATGCTCCCAGTTTATTCAGGAGATCTTATCTTTTTCTCCTTCCTATTTAGACCCATGCACGTCTCTCTTAGGGTCCTCTTTGTTGTATAAGTTCTTTGGGATTGTGGACTGTAGGCTGGTTTTTCTTTATGTCTAAAAGCCACTTATGAGTGATGACATATTTGTCTTTCTGGGTCTGGTTTACTTCACTCAATATGTTTTTTTTTCCTTTCTAGATCCATCCATCTGCCTGTATATTTCAAGATGTTATTATTTTTACAACTCAGTAGCATTCTACTGTGTAAATGTAACACATTTTCTTTATCCATTCTTCAGTTGAGGGGTATTATTTGTAATACCCAGAACCTGGAAACAACCTTTGGTGATTTGAATGTGAAATGTTCCTCATAGGCCCATGTGTTTCAACATTCAGTCCCCAGATGGTGACACTGTTTAGGGAAACTATGAAGCCTTTAATAGCGGAACTGGGATGTGGGGTATAGGCACGCCTGAGTTTTACAGTTCTTCTGTATTACCTGTTTGTTCTTTACTTCCTGACTATAGATGTCTCATGCCCCTCTTAAGCCTTCCCTTTCTCACTTAAGTTGCTGCTTGTTAAGTATGGTCACAGCAATGGAAAAACATGACTATTACATCAATTAGTACTGAGAATGGGGCTGCTGCTGTGATAATCTTTACCATGTGGTTATCAGACTTTTGGAACTGGTTTACTAGAGGAATTAAAATAGTTTGGAACTTTGGGCTAAAAACGCCCTTCAGTATTACAAAGCAGAGTTTAATGGGTCGAAGTGTAGAAGTCAAGGATGCCAAGAAACAAATGTGGATAATGAAGGTCTAGTTCATGACTGGGGTAAGGACTGCTGATAACTGGGCTAGAGACTATTCTTCCTACATCTTTTCCAAGAACTTGGCTACATTCTGTCTATGCTCTGAGAATTTGAATGGGACTGATTTAAAAAATAATGGACCAATAATCTGTTTGGTGAAGGAAATATTGTGGCGAAATAGCATTCAGGCTACTCTAACCAGGTCAATAGTAAGAGTGAGAAACAAATGGAGAAGACGAGAAATGTGGAGTTTGATGAAGATGTAAGTTTAAAATTGTACATAAGAAAGTGGCTGTTAAAAGAGAAAAACACTATTAAAGAGACACTTTGGTTGTCTGCACTGGAGTAATTGGAAAGGTGCCCTGGCACCTTACCCATCAGAAGTTCCATTTTGTGAAAATGCAAACTCATTTGTAAGGAGAGAGCTTCAACTGAGAATGTTACCAAAATGGCTACCTTTCAGGAGAACATCTGAGTAGGATATTTCTTCAAGGACCACCACATAGAGGCTACTCCTGTCTGAGGAGGCAGGCTACATTTTCAGCTAGCAGCAGAACCTGGCAGCACTGTCTATATGGTACTGGTCTTACAAGCAAGAATGATACAAGGATGGGGTATCAGAGAGGTTTGTGCCAAGGTTCCTGAGGCCATTGAAGCCAGACAATGTACAGCAATATCAGAGTCTTTGCAAAAAAGCACCAAGAACTCACTGCATGAAGCTGTGGAAGTGAAGTGCAAGTAGGAGAGGAAAGTCCCGGATGATGGAGATGCCAGGACCACAGGATGTCTCCTGAGAAAAGCTACAGGCATGGAGAACTGGCCTAAGAGAGAGGGTATATGTGTTTCAGGAGGCAGAACTGGATGAGTGGAGCCACTGAAGACCTTTGGAGGCCTGGTTTCTACCCTGCTGGGTTTCAGTACTGCTTTGGCCCATTTTTTCCTTGGTATGCCCCTATTCCTCCATGCCACTTTATATTGGAAGTATTAACTTGATATTTGATTGTACAGTGGTTCACAGTTCAAAGACTGCCCTAAATCTCAAGAGAAACTTTGGGCTATAAAAACTTTTGAAGGTGAATGAATGCATTTTGCATTATGGGATGTCTATGAGCCTGGTGGGGATGGAGTAGGTATTGTGGTTTGAACATGAACTATATTTCGTGGGCTTGGTCCTTAGTTGGTGGCACTGTTGAAGGTCGTGGAAAGTGTGGGTCACTAGGGACAGGCTTTGAGGTGTTATAGCCTGGCCCCACTTACTGTCTGTCATTTTCCTAGTTCTGATTGTGGATACACTGTGACCAGTTGCCTCATGTTGGGTCACCAGGATGGACTGTATCCCCTCTTAAACTATAAAACACAACAAACCCTCCCTCCGGCTTGTCAAGCATTTGTTCTCAGCACTGGGAACAACCACCAGTGCAGTAAGTTTGGACACGCTGAAGTATGCACACCCACTTCTTACCTGAGAGTAGGCTCCAAATGCCATGTGTTGCACATAAAGTCTCTCCAGTCCACAGTGGTGTAAGTGATGCTGTCTTCTCTGTCTCTGTCAGAGGAATTATCATCATGCATAATAATTGAACTCTTTTGTCCTGGTCGAGTGGATAGAATCCGAGGTGGAAAAATGGCTACAAATGAAAAAATTTATAAAACCAGATCTTATAAATTTTAAACCATTTTAAGAACCACTATTGGCTCTATCATTTTATCTATTACCATGCCAAGCCCCATTTAGTTACCTTATTAAAAGGTAACTTAAAATAAGTCAAGAGAAACCAATTTTTAGTATTTCTGAGAAAAGCAAGGTTGCCACTGTATAGATTGTAGAGCTCATATATGTGACAGCAGGTGTAGGGCACTGTCCTTTACAAAGGTGGGTTTCCTAAACAAGGAATAGCAGTTGAGTATGCTGGTCACATCTGTAACCACAGCTAAGTAGGAGACTGAGGAGACTGCCAGTTTCAAGTCAGCCTAAAATTTGAGACTGTGTCTCAAAATAATTTAAAGAAGGACCAGGGTTACTAATTCCATGGTAAAATACTTTTTTAGCATTTGAGTCTAAACTTCAGTATGGAAAAAAAAAGGTTGTGACTTTGTAACTTAGTTGGACTGTTATTTACATAACATAAAATTCATTTAAAGCATTAATTAGTGCTTCCTGTAATGGCTATATAGTTGTGAAAACAGTGTCAATAAGCAGCTTTTTGTGTAAAATCTTTTCTTCATGTTCAAGTATGACTTACAAAAGACAAGTCTTTTTAAAGTTAGCTACCATAAACACACAGATCACATCTGTGACACACATTGCTTTTTATGTGATCTTACTGAATAAATACAGCAGTTCTCTTGAAGTACAGGCTTCAAGGCACAACGTGAACATAAAACAACTGAAGATGATGTTCACTGTGCAGCCCTTACTGCAACTTGATTGGTAATGAACCAGGCAATACCACACTGTCAGAACACAGATTCCTGCAAGTTCTACTGTACTTGCTGGGCTTTTATTATTGGTGATATACACTGTTATATCTCCATGTTCTAGAAATTACTGATTTTACTCTAGTCTTAAATGATGGTAAAAAACTTTCTCAGAGAATGTTTATATTTATTTTGGTCCAAATTTGTAATAATGAGCTACACTTAAGTAGCTATTATACTATCTTTATAACTAAATCCTCACATACAACACTTTGTCTTTTCCCATTCAAATATCTTAAACTGTCTATGCAGTACTTGGGGATTGAGTCTAAAGGTCTACCCGATGCCACACTAGTGCTCTACCACTAAGACTATATCTCTAATTCTTTTAATTTATTTTTATTTTCTGAGCGAGAGATGGTCACTAAATTGCCTGGGTTGGCCTGGAACTTGCAATCCTCTTAAGTCATTGGAATTATAAGCCTATGCTACACACCTGACTAAAACAGTTTAAATTAAGAGATTTTTGCTTTAGAGAGAGACTAGTCTGAGGCAGACTAAGACCAATACAGTATTTCATGAAATGTCAAATGCCTTATATAACATTTGAGAGAAACAAGTACAGGCGTTCATACATGGGCAGATTAGAAATGAAGGTTGACTATTGGTTGGTACAGAGCAGGATAACAAGTGGCGGCTGCACTTCATGTGCTAGGACATGAAAGGTAGGTTCATGCTTTGGGGAAGTCCAACACACAGCACTTTCTAGGGCAAAGTGTGAGATATGTAGGAGACTGAATCTTCCCACCATCACTATAGATTTTACTCTCAATTTTGGCACATTTCTGAAGAACAGTAATGAAGAGTAGTCCAATCTATGTTACGTTAAATTTGTAGTTTCATCATAGTCTTTTTGATAATCTTTTAGTTTTGATATATCTGCAAGGTAAATTTAAAATTTTTCTTCATAAAAAAATAGTATTATATTATGTCCTGAACAAATTATCTTTTTCAAGCTACATTTAGTAAGAATCACATGTAGAATTGGGCCAGGCAGTGTATTCTTGTAATCCCAGAGCTATGTGGGAGCTCTGGGATTCCAAATTCCTAATTCCAAATAGGTTATTAGGGTCACTGTATGTTTCTTAATGAGTCAACATTTATGTGCCAGTAGGAAAACAGATGTGTATCTAGCTCATGAAATCAAAACTGGGCTGCTAAGATATAAGTAATTTATTTATAAAATTAAAATGTTCTTTGCCACAGAATTATCTCCTTACTAAATCCAGTTTTTCCAACTGTATGCTACACATAAAACAATGCAACTTTATTAGGTAGCTGTTTCTTCACTCATTTTACGGATTTAAGTAGTATTTCCTCCCATTTCCCACTCTGCAAAAATCATCAATAAGGCTTTTAACTACAGACTTTAATATTTTTTTTTGTTTTTTTTTTGTTTTTCGAGACAGGGTTTCTCTGTAGCTTTGGTGCCTGTCCTGGAGCTAGCTCTTGTAGACCAGGCTGGCCTCGAACTCACAAAGATCCGCCCGCCTCTGCCTCCCGAGTGCTGGGATTAAAGGCGTGCGCCACCACCGCCCGGCAGACTTTAATATTTTTAAAAACTACTAAAAAACATTTATTTTTGATTTTTATTTATGTGTATGCATGCTCTCTCTCTCTCTCTCTCTCTCTCTCTCTCTCTCCCTCTCTCTCTGTGTGTGTGTGTGTGTGTGTGTGTGTGTGTGTGAGAGAGAGAGAGAGAGAGAGAGAGAGAGAGAGAGAGAGAGAGAGAGTGTGTGTTTGATCCCCTGGAACAGGAACTATATATTGTTGTGAGCCACCTGACATAGGAGCTAGAATCCAAACTTAGGCCTCCTGGAAGAGAAGCAAGTACTCTTAAACACTGAGCCATCCTTTCAGTCCCTATTTAAAAAAATAAAGCAAACGAACAACAACAACAAAAAACCCCAAATCCCAAACTCTTATAAAAAGAGTGCCACTGAAGGGCAGACAAATGCTACCAAGGCTGACATGAATTTGATTTTCACAAACACCATAATGGGAGGAGAAAACTGATTCCTATAAGCCATCCTGATCTCTACATGTATGCCATGATGTACCTCATCCCCCACAAAACCAAAATAAATAAATGAAAATAAAAAAAAAGAGTGCCATGTAACTAGCAGATACTCAAGAAGTTTACAGGGAAGAAAATAAAAAGAGAAAATAAAAATATGCAACACACCCTTTTCTTTTTCTTTCAGATAGGCTGACACCAGGTCATGGAGAAACATGATGAGCTCAGCATCCATAGTCACACAAATGTGGTCAGTAAACTCTGTCACCACACTGCATTCCACCTTGGGTTTCAAGTTGGCATCTGTAATGATAAAGTTCTTATATAGTAAAAAATTTCAAGGCTTCTTCCCATTAATATTTACATAGATCCATATAATGCATCCATTTGAAATCTAACTGTAAAGAAATGATCAACTGCTATATGCACGATTTATAGGGTAATGATTATTAAAAATTCTTAGAATGTGCCATTGTTTATTTTAATAAAGTCCAATTGTTATTCCCAGTACTTGGAAGAAAAGGCACAAACAGGCTAAATAATTTACCAGAGGCCATAAGTATCTGGTACAAACATCAGTTTGACTTATATCATCCGTTTTATTAAATTAATATACCAAAATAACCTGTGGGAAGAGAGCAGTAGTCAGAAGTTTCTTTAGAATTTCCTTAGTACTGTTAAGACTAGAGATTCTTTCTCTACATACCTTGTAATGAAGGCTCCTGTGGTTCTTGAACATGAATTGATTTAAATTCAAGCTGCATCCTTGGCAATGCAAAGATAGTCTCTGTTTCATGATTGTAGCTGGAACCTCCCCTGAATCCACTCAACAAACTAGAATTCTTCATAGTAGTACTGTTCTCCATGTTATTAGCATCAACATTACGAAGTAAGTTTAGCTCTACACACATAAAACAGCAAGGGTTAAGCTAAGCCAAAGGGTACCATCAACACACCGCACTTAAATAAAGCAGAATGATACCTTGGCCCTATTGACAAAAAAACAACAGCAAAAACCAAAAAACTAAACATATATTTCTGAATGTGTTAAGCTGTATTTAAATCCAGGAAAATAATTGTGACATCAGAGTAAAGTAACAGATTTATCTAAGCTGAATGAAGTGTGGCTTTAAAGACACTGCAATACATTAAACTCTTCACTTAACAAGTTGTAAATGTTCATTTTCTTAAAAAATGTGCATATATATTATTGTTATCAAATGCACAGAATAGTTATAAAACATTTTTCAAATAATTTCTAAGATATTTCTCAAATGCTAGAAAATATAATAAATTTAATTTTATTCATTTAAAACCAATTTATTTAGCATAGTTTCAGTTATAGCTAATTTAAGTCTACAAAATGCTGTATCATCAGGCTGGTGATTCTTGTATTAAATAATCACTTTATGTATCAACAGAAATAAAATGAATACTGTATCAAGACATGAAAACTTGACCTCTACTTATATTCTAAACAGCTGACAGAGCTCAAAATAGAAAAACAAACAAAAGAAGCCCAACAAAAGCTAAATATTCAACCTTCGTTCCTTGTGGCAGTGACATAGTTGAACCATTCTTTTACACTCGCTACTCCATGAGGTGGGTTTTCGTGGCGACGCCTTGTTATCTTGGTTATTGTTGCCATGGGACTTTCCAGAGCACCACATGGTTTGGTAACCATGGTATTATGACCCAGATGAAAATCCAGTGTTTGAACAATGTATGTAGAATGATCACTAGAGCCTAGAGCACAAGAAAGATATGTTTGTATAAGCGACAAACTATATTTATAACTAAGAAAGTAACTGTGGCTTCCAAGTAATAGATTTAGCTAAGCTGTACAAAGGGTAGGAAGGTGAATAAACGAGAAAGTACACAAACAGTTATTTTAGTTAACTGGATTTATCCCAGTGAGATGAAGAACATCAACCATTTTGTTAAGAAAAAACTGAGTGGGTCAGGCAATGGGACACACCTACAATACTGGCTCTCAGGAAGCAGAGACAGGAGGATCCCGAGTTACAGGACAACCTGGGCTAAAAGGCATTGTCAAAAGGCAAACAGAAGAAAACACTGAATAGGAAACTGCTCAAAGGAATTGCTCTTTTAAAATATTTTTATTAGTTCCTTGAGAATTTTGTACATGTTTTGGTGTCCTTTTTAAAAAAAAACTCATTGTGGAACCGAATCGAAGAACCGAATATTAATTCACACACCTTTGAACACCTGATTTTTTTTACAAAGAAGCAAAAAACATCAAATGGAAAAAAGATAACTGGATATCAACATGTAGAAGAATGAAAATAGATCCCTATCTATCACGAAAACTCAAGTCCAAATGGATCAAAGACCTCAACATAAAGCCAGCCACACTGAACCTCATAGAAGAGAAAGTGGGAAGTACACTTGAATGCATTGGCACAGGAGACCACTTCCTAAATATAACCCCAGCAGCACAGACACTGAGAGAAACAATTAATAAATGGGACCTCCTGAAACTGAAAAGCTTCTGTAAAGCAAAGGACATGGTCAACAAGACAAAACGATAGCCTACAGAATGGGAAATGATCTTCACTAACCCCAAAGAACTCAAGAAATTGGTCATCAAAAGAATAAATAATCCAATAAAAAAAATGGAGTACAGACCTAAAGAGAAAACTCTCAACAGAGGAATCTAAAATGACTGAAAGATACTTAAGGAAATGTTCAGTATCCTTTGTCATTAGAGAAATGCAAATCAAAACAACTCTGGATTCCATCTTACACCTGTAAGAATGGCCAAGATCAAAAACACTGATAACAAACTTATGCTGGAGAGGTTGTGGGGTAAAGGGAACACTTCTCCATTGCTGGTGGGAATACAAGCTGGTACAGCCCCTTTGGATGTCAGTGTGACAGTTTCTCAGAAAATTAGGAAACAACCTTCCTCAAGACCTGGTAATACCACTTTTGGGTATATATCCAAAGGATGCTCAATCGTGCCACAAGGACCACAAGGACATATGCTCAACTATGTTCATAGCAGCTTTGTTTGTTATAGCCAGAACCTGGAAACAACCTAAATGACTTTTAACCGAAGAATGGATAAGGAAAATGCGGTACATTTACACAATGGAGTACTACACAGCAGAAAAAAATAACGACATCTTGAATTTTGCAGGAATGGATGGAGCAGGAAAACATCATTTTGAGTGAGGTAACCCAGACACAGAAAGACAATTATCACATGTACTCACTCATAGGTGGTTTTTAAACATAAAGCAAAGAAAAACCAGTCCACAAATCACAATCCCAGAGAACCTAGACAACAACAAGGACCCTAAGAGAGACAAACATAGATCTAATCTACATGGGAAGTAGAAAAAGACAAGATCTCCTGAGTAAATTGGGAGCATAGGGACCTTGGGAGAGGGCTGAGGGGGAGGGGAGAGGCAGGGAGGGAAGCAGAGAAAAATGTAGAGCTCAATAAAATCAATAAAAAAATTAAAAAATAAGTAAATAATCCATTGTGACCAATTTGTCTGACTAGATATTTCTGGAGGTGTGGCCTTCCAGGGTATTACTGTTGCCCTCAAGTTTTATAATGCAATCTTGTCTATACAGAATCTCCTCACACTGTCTGCATGTTTTTACAAGGAATATTTCTACATATCACGCTAAGAGCAGTCACAGGGGCACTAAATTTAAGTAATGGAATAAGACAACAAGTTGAGATATTTCTTTAACAAGTCCCGACTTCACAGATGCTAATTTCACTAGCAATGAATTCGCCCCTTATCTGTTAAATAGAGATGATATCTCCAATAAAAACATTCAAAAGGGACTGGGGAGATGGTTCAGGGGATAAAGACACTTGCTACCAAGCCTGACAACCCAAGACCCCTAAGAACAGCTCCTCAAGTTGGTTTCTGACTTTCACATGTGTGCTATAGCACAAATGTGTCTCTCTCAAAATAAATAATTATAAACAAACAAAAGCACAAATGAGTCAGGGAGGTGGCTCAGTATGTAAAGCATTTACTATTCTAGTATGAGGTCCTGAGCTTGAACCACCAGAACCAATGTAAAGCTGGATAGAGTAAAGTGTGTCTCTAATCTCAAGGGTCCTATACTGGGATGGGAGTTGGATACAGAAGAATCCCTGGAAGCACATGAGTCATCTAGCCTAGTCTCAAACAGGGTGGAGGGTGAGGACTGGTACTCTAGGTTGTCCTATTACCTTCACAAGCACACTGTGCCATGAACATGCCTTCACTCAAAGACATCATATAAAAACACACATACACCACACATACACATACACCTTCAAAAATTAACACACAAAGACCTAAGAAACAAAAATTACATAAGTCATTTATGATCAAGCCAGATGATAGCAAAGAATAAAAGCTGGACATGTGTCAGTTTACCATCTTCCCAGATTTTCTGAGCTTCAGTCCAAAAGGCAATATTTGGTTCTTCTAAATGAAAAAGGGCCCAGGATTTTGAACGGAAATTTGGGCCATGAAAACAAGCCAGGGTCATGTGATTCCCATGTAAGCTCATGGATCCTCCAAACTGCATCCCATCTTCTGGCAATGGTATCTGAAATAAGGATATATGGCATCCAGATACCACCTTCAACACCCCAGGCCAATGTCGGTGGTGCGCAGCATCGAGCACTGCAAGAGAACCAAGAAACATCTGTCATAAATGATCTCAAGCAACCTGAGCAGGGAAAAGGCAGAGGCAGGTACATTCTACAGCTAAAAGTGACTCAGAAAATGAGTGGAAATGATACACCATCTATAATGCTAGCTGATTTACAAAGAGCTTGTATGGCATTTTACACAATTTCTACACAACAATAATTAAATCAATTGTCAATCAGGTCTAACAACTCTTCATAGGTAAAATCAGGAATGAGAGAGGTTTTATATTTTTCCCTCCTAATTGTTTTCTAGTAAAGTGAGGTCAGAGGACCAGCACCGTAGCACTCTAGGAGCTTGATAAAACTCAGCATTCTTATGCCCCACTATCTACTCTATCACATTTGCTTTTTAAAAGAATTTGCTTGGTATGTACAAGGTTCTGAGTTCATTCCTTAGCACTGTCAAAATATAGATTTCCAGGCGTTATAGATGCACATTAATATTTGAGAAGTACTAATGATTCACAGAATTCAGATTTTCCCCACTCGTTCCTGTAATGTCCTTTGTGGCTGTTTACCATTCTTATCTCAGCACTACCAAGAATCATGCTTTGTGTTTAACTGGCATATTTTCTTTAAAGCAATTCTCTAAACCTGGTGCTATTTCTTTTGACAAGGACTTTTCAAAAGAAAGTAAACCATATACCTCGCACAGCACTGCAATTTATACATGCTTGCTAACAATACTGTTTCTAGGGAATATAAAGGCCTAGAGAAATACACCACTAGAAGATAATAACACCACAAAGAAGTCACTGAAAAGAGTAGGGTGCTCTGCAGACAACTGGCCAAATCTGTTTAATAAGTACAGTCATTAAAAAAAGGAAATATGTCAGACTAAAGAGAGTAAAGATAGGTAACAACCAGATTTAAGCTTTGAACATGGCTGGACAAACTACTTGATACTTGTGGGTCAGTCATGAAGTCTGAATATGCCCTGGAAGCCAGAGGAGATAACTAACTGCAAAATAGAAAGTTGAACTGTGGAAAAGGGTATGTGACACTTTGGCTAAAAAAAGTGTACAAATATGTAGAAAAATCCATATATAAGCTCTAAGTTGCTTCACAGTGATGATTTTTGTTTATATTTACTAGTTTGCTTTCAATGTACACACATTATTTCTATGATAAAAAATTAATTAAGGAGTTAGGTTGGGCGTAGTAGTGCATGTTTTTAATCCCAGCATGTGGGAAGCTGATGCAAGTGAATTTCTTTGAGTTTGAAGTCAGTCTGGTCTACATACTTAGTTCCAGGTCAGTTATGGCTATGTAGAGACCCTGTCTCAAAAAAACCAAAAAACCCAAACCATAAATAAACTAATTAAGAGATTAAGAGTTTTCATCATTCTGCCTACTAATTTTTTATTTATTATTATTTCTTTATTTTATTTTATTTTTTGGTTTTTTGAGACAGGGTTTCTCTGTAGCTTTGGAGCCTGTCCTGGAACTAGCTCTTGTAGACCAGGCTGGTCTCAAACTCACAGAGATCCGCCTGTCTCAGCCTCCTGAGTGCTGGGATTAAAGGCTTGCTCCACCACCACCAGGCCCTGCCTACTATTTGTCACCACTTATCACTGTCGCCCTAGCTAAGGGGACCATCATCTCTAGCCTGGATTCTCACAAATGTCCTTCTTGTGTCCATGCCTCACTGCCTATAAAGTCTGTTCTCTACACAGTAACCATGGTGATGTTTTGGCAGCGGGACCAGGAATATTCCTAGTGCTTGAACTGGCATTCTGGAATCCATTCTTTTCGGAGTGAAACCTTGCTCAGAATTGATATGGGGCGGGGGAGGGGGGGCAGAGAATTGATACAGGAAGAGGGCTTTGGTCTTACTTCAAAGTGATGTGTCAGACTTTGTTGATTTCACTTGGGAAGTCTAAGGAGTGGTTGGGGCCTGGGGTGGGGAGAAGGTCAGGGGAGTGAGAGGAATGGAGGTAGTGGGAACTGGAATAGGTATGTAAAATGAGAAAAGATTGCTTTAAAAAATAAATTTTATTTTTTAAAAAAAGGAATATTTTATGACAAGGCAAACCAAATGATACCAAACCTCTCTCTCTCTCTCTCTTTAAAAGATTTATTTATTATAAGTGTCCTGCCTGCACATATGCCTTCTAGCCAGAAGAGGGCACCAAATCTCATTCCAGATAGTTGTGAGTCACCATGTAGATATGGGAGTTGAACTAGGGACCTCTGGAAAAGCAGCCAGTGTTCTTTAACCAGTAAGTCATCTCTCCAGCCCCAATACTGAATCTCTTAAAAACTTTACAATATTTACTCATCTTATTAAAAACCTTATTTGTGACCTGTACCCGAATTAATGTCTAATTTTTTTCTTACTCATAACTGCTTTCATCAGTTATTTTAATGCCCCTTAATTCCCCCAAACCCTATTCATTGAAAACATGCTGAGCAAGGGTCCTACCATGGAATCACACCCCCAGACCATTGTGATAATTTCATTTTGAGACAGGGTCTTATATTAAGTTATCCAAACTGGCACTGAACTTGTTCTGTAGCCCAGGCAGGTCTTGAACTTGTGATCCTCCTGTCTCAGTTTACCAAGTAGTTGATATTAGAGAACTGTGCCACTAGGTCCAACAGTGATTCTCAAATAAGCCAACTTTGTGAAGAACAAAAGGAGCCTCACATCTCTATGACCCTCTGCCCAGAACTTTTCCCCACATCTTATCTCAATTCTTTCAATCAGTGACTCATTTCTACCAAGATGTTGCTTCCCAATCATCTCTTCTGAAATAGCTATTCTTCCACCTTAGTCTTCTTTATATTCTCCCCTTGCTTTATTTTAAAATAACCAATCCTATCATTTATGCATTTAATTATAGTCTCTCTCTCCTATTTGATTGTAAGATTCATGAGGTAGAAAAGGTCATTATCTTCAACTCTTGTGTTTAGAGAAGTACCAAAGCATACAGCTGTCACTTAATAAATATAAGCTAATTTATGAATTACTAAGTGAAAGATAATAACCTGCCTAGTATCAAAAGTTAATAGATTCAGTTCTTCTGACTCCTCAGCCCATGCACAAACCAGAATATAATACTGTCACATAGCAGGTATGCTTCAGGTGAGCTGTAGTGGAAAAAGGTATACCCTCCCAAGGGACAGTCAATGCCATTATCAGGACCATAGTCAATGTTGAGTGGGTAAACGAAGAACCCACAGGATACCTTCTAAGTATGGTATATAAATGTGTTGCTTAATAATATACATACAGAGAAAGTAAGAATATATCAACGTTGACTTCTAACTCTTACACTGCTCTTGTGAATTTTTCTCCAGGTTGTTAGTCATGGTCTTGGGTGGAAGATAAGGAACAGGTCCCCAGGTCGACAGAGCTCGTTTGCTGGTATCAAACTGTTGTGTGAAAAATTCTTGGAGTTTCATTCCTATTTTTATCAAGTCTGGTGTGGTTGATCTTGATATCATTACTTGGAAAATATCCCACTTCAAGTCTCCATGCACAAAAATCTCACTAGAGTATGAAACAGAATCTGTATCAGAAATTTCACAGAAGACATAAATAATACAAGAATAATTATCCGCCCTTCCCAGTGTTTACATTTGTATTAATTGTATAATATAAAATCAGTCTTTAGAAAAAAATTAACTATTTGTCCCATCCCTGAATGTAAAAAAATATTAAGGGCAGTCACATAAAGTTTCCAGAAGGGGCCATCCTAATAAATACCTTTTATCAGTCATGCTTGAATCCAGGGTGTTATATAAGTTCACTTTCCATTCATCCTGAAGCTTAAGATCAGCATTGCTGAAGATACCCATAAGGATACTTGAGCCCATGTAATCAACCCGAGATTCAGTAGAACCCATGGTAATCTGTATTTTGTGGCTGGGTTGCTGATTTGGATGTTCAGAAATATGAGCTAAATAAAAACAGTAATTACTTTCCATTGTAATTCATGGGAAAACTTAGCAAATTTGACTTTTTAAAACTTTTTTTCCCAATATGTTTGAGAATATACTAGTGTAAAATTTCAACATACCAACCATCTCCAAAGCATTGACATCGATGGTCCCACCAACTACTCCTCCTTTGGAATCTAACTGTGACCTTCCCAGACCTACAGACATGCTAATCTCTCGATCACGGTTACTTCCTACAGAAAGCCGGCCTTGGCTTTTCAAACCACTAGTTGTCCAACTAAAAAGAAGAAAAAAGTTGTTAGATAGGTGGCTGTTTGTCATAAATTAAAAATAGTAGGTAGCTAAATCAGATTATTTAATAGATCAGGTAGCTAAATCAGATTATTTAATAGACGATCCAATTTGACACTGAACTATTTCTTCCTTTCTCTGAGTCTGGATCACACAGTGTTGTTGAAACTGGTTCTGAGTACTGGAACTCAGCTCATCCTCTTGGAGGAGTGGTATACACCCACCAGATCAGTTAACAGAGAATTTAAACAAGAACTACGTGATAGATGTTTAAATATTAAACTAACAAAGCTTTCTAGCTAGAAAATTATCCTATTTTTTTTTATTTTTTTTTCCTTTGGGAATGTGTTTTATGGTATTTGTATTACAGTATCCTTACAATTAAGTCAAAATAGAAAGTTAACATTTTACCCACTATATTCACTGTCTCAAAGACATCTACATCTAAAAGGGTTGGGACTGCTTTAAAACACTATAAGAAAATTAAAAATTTTATTAAATCTATTTTCTTTGTATCTAAATAGCTTACGTTGTATTTCCCATGACATTACTCATATTCATTTGAACATTTAGTTGTTTCAAGTTGATAGCGAATACAACAAGTGTCTCCCATGGAGTCCCTTGCTGGCTTGCTGCTTTGTTTGATTTGTTAACAGGCGTTGATGTTTTGGAAATTGAATCTAAAGACAGAAAAAAAATCAAATATGCACTTATTCACACAAATCAAAGCTTACTACAAAGCAAAACCTACTAGTTTCCATACTCCAAAAGGTAAACATGAGCGTCTTGCACCAGTCAAATGTTTTAACAGTTGCCATATTACTTCTAAAACAGGTGAGATGAGGGAATTTTGGTGTGCATGAAATATAGATGCACAGATATTTCATCACCTAAGATTTTCTTTATAAAAGAGCAAACAGTGTTTCAGTCAAACAGAAGACTCAAAGGCAGGGACCATTCTAAAATGCAGGCATTGGCTAAGTACCTGGCATTTATCTAATGAACTCAGTATGCAAACCAAGTACTGACTTTGCTCATTATATTTTATTCTCTGTTGTACAAAGAACCGTATCATCTTGATACATTCAGGCATAACCACAAGACAACACCGGCACACATGAGTTGGAAAAACACTGACTAAATAAATGAACTGAATCAATATAAAGATTTATTTCTTCAATATCAAACCTTCTTTTGGTACATTCACAGCATTACTGGAATGTTTTTAAAAGCATCTGTCCTTAGGGAGTATATTGACAATATGACAACTCCACATTTCCTGTAACTCTGTAAATCTAATAGATATCCACAGAACTCTCCTGCAGGCAGAGCTCTGAAGTGTTTGGTACTTAGTGTTTTTTTTTTTTTTTTTTTGTTACTGTTTTCTTTTCCTAGTGATTAAGATCTTTAATTTAGGAACCCAGGAAGGTCACTGATAACAAAAAGCAGTATTACCTCTTCGAGGAACTGAAGAGTCTGACACACTCCTTGATCTTATGGAAGCTGGGGACTTGAGGTTCTGTGCTGCTGACCCTGGTGACATGGTACTATTGGTCATGTGCTCATTGAACACGTTGGGTGACTGAGGCATATGAGTGAAAGAGGCTGACTGACTTGGCTGATCCCAGGTCCTGCAGTATGCTTTCCTTGATGACTCAGGAGAAAGGTGCTGGCTAACCCCTTCAATGGAATCAGGAGTCCCTGGACCAGATGCTGGTACAACAGTAGAAAACAAAATAAAGTCACAGGTAAGAACATTAAGTAATGCTGGACAACGGTGGCGCAAGCCTTTAATCCCAGCACTCAGGAGGCAGAGGCAGGCGGATCTCTGTGTGTTTGAGGCCAGCCTGGTCTACAAGGTGAGTTCCAGGACAGCCAAGGCTACACAGAGAAACCCTATCTCAAAAACAAACAAACGAACAACAACAACAAAAAAACCAAAATAAAACCCATTAAGTGATAAAAGTCCTTTCTCCCAGACACCAATTCTCACTATATTGCATATTCTTTCTACTTCCATATTTTGCAACTGTATGGCAGTAAATAATTTGTAAAGAACAATCCAGTATTTACTTAATTCTGACAGAAACTGAGTGAGAAGGTCAAAACAGATATTTTGGTCCCATTACAGGTAAGAAAGTAGACCCACTCATGACATTATAATACAGTTTTTACTGTTTCAGACCAACTGTACTCTTAACTTCCACAACCTCTTCAGTGGAACATAACATCTAAGATCAAGAAAGAGATGGAGGCAAATTGGTAGTAAAACTCCAATATTTTCATTTTTCCATGCGTAACTATGATTAGTAATAGTTAAATGTATACTTGCACTTCCAAATTTACAAAGATTACAGAATAAATTATTACAAAATAAAATGTCAATTAGGAGGTAATCTTGAAGAGGGTAAGGCATTTATTTGTTTGGAATGTCCAGTGCTTACCATTGGAGGGACTCAATAGACATTCTTTCAAACAAATGAATTACACGGTAAAGTTTACAAAGTAAATCAAAATTTGTGTTATCAATCATGGATCTTGTTTACTTTAGCCCAAACTAAGAAACCTAATTATGATAACAAGCTTACTTGGCAAATTTACAGTTTGGTCTCCAAGGAACAGGCGCCTTGCAATACTTCTCCTGTACCAGGCTCTTGGAAACGCCAAAATTTCACTGAGTCGGCGCATATCATACTTAAATGAAGCAGACCCTATATCACACACAGCTGATGCAGAAATAAAGTTTGTTAGAGCTTAGAACAGACTTCCAGATCGTTTAACACTTTATATATTAGTTATCAGACACGGTATTATACCTACTGTTCTAATCCATAAAATCTAGACTACATTGTATCTAACAAGTGATTTTATTTCTTTCTTCAAATTACAGAAACAGTGCATTGTAAGATCATTAGCTTTGCGTCCTTTTCCTGGGGAGATGGCAAGTTACGGTTCTGTCACAGTTATGAGAGAGTTCTAGAGTTAACTATGTGGCAAGCTCTCAGTTTCACACAGGGCTCCTCTCAAATATGAAAAATAAGTCAACAGTATGAGCTACAATATGAACTTGCACAAAGAGAACTGTAAACCAAATAATTGTATGAGAGGGAGTTCTTATTTCCCTTTTTGTTCCAGGGCAGAAACTTTCACAAGAAAAACTCCCTTATGGTCACCTTAGAGCTTCTGTTTGTCATCATTCCCCTTCTGCCTTTCTTCTCTTCTGTTCCTCTTCCACGGCTTCTTTAGACTGACCTATTGATGACTTCCAGTGTACAGTACCTGAGCCCTTACTTCCAGACTTGGTGGTCAGCTGACCCACTGATAGGTCTACAACCACTCTCACTTTAGTTTATTTTATAGTTATCTAAGTTAAGGGTTTAACCTTCCCCTCCAAATCATCTAAGCTCAAAGCCACCTTAAAAACAAAGGCCATTGTTTAATTCTTTATAATAGTATTTTAATTAAGAACTATAAAACAGAATACCAGATATATTGATCAATGTAGTGTCCATTTTGCTTGCAGACTTGCTTACAGACTGACTTTCAAAAAATGAGGCACCTCCTGAGCGCCTTATCCGAGACAAGCTCACTTTTACAAACTCAAGGTTTATACTTAATGAGTCTTTTCGACCAGTGACTGACGTAGGTTCTTCATCTACATTTCCTAAGAAGAAAACCAAAATAAGAAAAACATCCACAGGTATGCATATGCAAAGAGATGTATGTATATGCAGACAACTAGTTAATGAAAATTATCCAGTATTCTGTAACATGTCACCATTCAAATGCAGTTAAACTAGCAAAAATTTAGACAGAATAACCTAATGAGCATTTGCATTCTTCAGAGCAGTTTTGATAGGTTGAAGTCTGTATACAAGAGTAGCAATTTAATAAGCTTATTCCAACAACAAAAACTAGAATTTACTTTTAAAAATATAAGAAATATTCATTAATAAAGCCTGAGCTTTAAAATGCAGATTTTATTTTACTAAATGCTGGCTTAATAATCTCATTTAAAATTACCAAGCATAACCTACATACTTTAAAATTTTACTTTTCATTGACTAAAGTTTTATGCAAAGTAATTTGATAATATACTTAAAAATGTAATATAAAAATTGTATCTTTAGATATTATGCTATATATATCACTTAACAAGCATTCTTAAGTTTTAAATCCTTATAAAATCAGTTTATCTCAATTTCATTTCATATTTTTACTCATAAAATAGGTATTATCAGCAGGGTGGTGGTGGCAAACACCTTTAATCCCAGCACTTGGGAGGCTAGAGGTAGGTGAATCTCTGTGAGTTCAAGGCCAGCCTGGTCTACAAGAGGTAGTTCCAGGACAGCCTCCAAAGCTACAGAGAAACCCTGTCTTGGAAATAGAGAGAGAGAGGTAAAATAGTTCATACCTATTATTCTATTATTTAAGGCAACCGTGGTCTAAGAACAGAAAACTTTAAAAAATGTAACAAAAGACACAAGCAAGCAAATCTACCTAGTCCTCCGGATCCAGATGTAAGACCAGAAACGGTGGACTTCTGCTTCCCTGCACCATAGGGGTGAAACACGTACAGGGAAAAGTCAGACATGCATGCAGTGAAGCTCAGGCCAGATGAGCTGCTGCTGGAGCCAGTGAGATCTGACTGACTGCTACTGTGTCGACTTCTGCCAAGCGGGCTGCCTAATCCTGATGAGCCTGTAAATAGGAGACATCCAACATCATCAGCCACAAGCAAGTCCATAAGCACTAACATGCTCTCAAAAGGCAAACACGAGACTATCTGGATAAAATTTTGAATTCAAGATATTTGTACAAAAAACAGGACCTGAGTGATCCCTTCCAAATCTGAAGGCTGATTTTTATTCAACAGCTTTCATGTTTCTTTTGAAACTGGAGTTTAGGATTTCATTCCTACACTTTTGTTTTAGTAAGTTCAACCTTGGCCCTTCTAGCATTTTAAACCAAACAATTCTTCTCAGAAAGAAGGGTTTTCAGACTGGCAGGTTGTTCGCACAGTGTTCCTTGTTTCTTCACAAGTTTCCTGTTAAAGTCTTTCAGTTATGAAATCCCAAAACTGTAAGGCGTCTGCCGCCCTTGATTAAGAATCACCATTTTAATTACATTTCAATTCTACTGTCAATTTCCATTCAAACTAGTCAATATTGCTATTATTTATATTTGTATTTCTATTTGACTTTTGAGCACAGAATTCTTAGTGAGGAAGGAGTGTTACCTCATCAAGAAATCCTCAAGTATATTTTACAATAAAACCTTTCATGAAACAAACGAGGTAGACAGCAATAAGTAATATTTATCATTAAAAATACAAGTGCTAGCCAGGCGGTGGTGACATATGCCTTTAATCCCAGCACTCAGGAGGCACAGGCAAGGCAGGTGGATCTCAGTGAGTTCGAGGTCAGCCTGGTCTACAAAGCAAGTTCCAGGACAGTCAGGGCTGTTACACAGAGAAACCCTGTCGTGAAAAACCAAAAAAAAAACAAAAAAAAAAAAACAAAAACAAAAACAAAAACAAAAACAAAAAAACCCCTAAAAAAACCCCAAAAAACCAAAAAACAAAACAAAACAAAACAAAAAAAAAACAAAGAAAAGAAACAGAAAAAAAATTATAAGTGCAACTTGGTAAATGTTTGAAAAGAACATATTTTTATAAAAACATATCTTTTACTTTCATTTGCAAACCCATTGTTCCTAAAATATAAAATCCAACACAACACAAAACACTCAAATGCACATGAATGTGTGAACTATGAGTGTTCTTGTTACAGTGCTTTTAGCAGCACTCAAGCTCAAACTATAGCGCTATCCAACCACCGCTGAGCTAATATATATATATATTAAAGGGGACTCATTCTATTAACACATGAAATATACCTAGAACTTTGGTATTTTTTTCCTTCAAATGTCACAATTCTCTAATAGTATGCTTTCCTAAATCTACGTAAAATACAGATGAATAACTGCTAAAATTTATGTAATACTTGGATTTGTATCAGGCAACTTAAATGTTTCTATACCTGGTATTCCAGCTTTGCTAGCAGAGGTCTTTGTCCCACTCTGAGGAGCATTACCACCAGGGGACAAGATCTCTGCAGGGTATGTAGTCCCCAAAGTGTCTAGTTCTCCTCGGTTTGAAGAAAAAACCAAGTCCAGGGATGGCAGCTTCAGCATGCACTCTACTCTTGATACTGGCAAACAACTAAATTTGATCTGTGAAGGCTAAAGAATAAAAAGCAAGAGAGAAAAAAAGATTTCTAGGAACTGCATGGTCAAAACAATTTCATATTGGATTCTAAAAGTTACATGTAATTTCCATTTAAACATTCATATACACCAAATGTATTATGTTTAATCATCTGATATTTAAAAGCAATTTAATCTAATGTCACAACTTACAAAAAAGAAGGATGGCACATAAACCAAAATGCATTAACAAAATGGTACAATCTTTATGAAGCTAAACATTCTAGACATAGAGTTTATTCTAATGCCTGGCTCTTGGGGCTATGGGGAAGGAGGATTACTGTGAGTTCAAGGTCAACCTAGTACCTGCCAGCCTGGGCTACTGAGTTGAGATCTTGTCTAGAACAAGCTAAGAAGATTCACTGACATTTGGATAATTCAGCACCTTAAACATATTTATGCTCATAGTATTTTTGCTAATAATCCAATCTTTTAAAGGAACTAATCTTTAAAATTAATTATTTTAAAAATTAAAAACACTGTTGTGTTAGTAATAAAGGTTTTTACAAACCTTCAAGTACTTAGTATATTTTTTCAGAATTAACAAAACTCCAAAGTATCAGACTAGAGATCTTTTGGCAAACAGTCACTGTAGAGAACCCTGCAACAGATGACACTAGCGCTTTTCTTATTCTTACAGATTCATTTTAAAAATTTAACTGAACCTGAAGAGTGGACACAAACATCTTTCTAATCCTCTTTAACAAATGGATAAAACCAAAGGATGATATGTATTCCTAAAGGTATATTGATAAGATTGCATTAAAGAATAAAACTACATAACAGTTTCACAAACTCCATAAAAGGCATTATTGTATCTTAATTTCATTGCAAATCTGCCCAGAAAGAAACATAATGGTGAGAGCTAAGAATACAACACTAGTAAAGAAATAAAATGCTTTCAAAAGGTTTAAAACTTTATTTAATAGAAGATTGAGATTAAGAAATGGAAAACTCTTAACTATGAAACTGCTCTGAATAGTAAACACATACATACAGTTTTAAATACACTTCTCAGGAATTATCAACATTGTATCAAACGTTTGTAAAGCTATGACTCAGAAAAAATCTGAACGGAAATAATGTAGACATTTCAAATACAATATTGTCTTTATGAAGAAATAACACACATCACCTGAACTCGAACATAAACCACAACATCTACAGGGAAGGAAGAGTAAGCAGACGTTGAAGATGACACTAGGGATGTTGTTGATTCTTCCATAGGATCTGGGATTTCAAAATGTCCCATATCTTCATCTTGTGAACTGACTGCTGTTAAAATATTTAGTTTCAAGTTTTATAACATATCAAGAGCAAATCATTAGAAGATCTCTCTCTCTAACTAGTATCAACATCAGAAAGTTGCTTTTAAGTCTGTCCATTTACATATTCTTGCCTACTCAAATCTCATGTTCATTTCCCAAATTAAATTCTTCCACATCACAAACTATACACAGAAAACAGCACCTATGTCTTGCCTACAAAGAAAGTCCAGTGCAAGAAATACATCAATCATTAATGTTGTCACTATTTAGCAGTACCCTTGAAGAGAAATCAAAAAGCTTGGTTCTTCACTTGCAAAAAAAGAGTGAGATGACCTCTCTGGTTCTTCTCCAGTTCTGTAACTTGTCTTATAATGGAATATACAACAACATTTAATAGCACTGAGAAATTCTAATAAGATCTAAAATCAGAACGTATATGAGAATACTTACCTGTATAATTCCTTTCAATTGGTGTAATTGGGATAGTTTCCAGAGCCTTCTCCAGAAAGTCCAATAGACAAGGGCTAATAACCATTTCTTCTGGTAATGACTGAAGTGCTACCCAAGCATAGAGCTTGGCTGTTTTTACTCCTCCACTGCCTTTTCCTTTGGCTAGAAAGTTGATAAATATGATGTACATCGAATGAAATTCAATAAAATGTCCCAACAAAACATGGCAAGTTAATGAGAAATTAGAATTGTATGACAGCTTAATTAAGTGAAGTATTTTACCTAAGACTACATAAGAAAACAATAAAAACAGGCTGATAGAAATGATACATTGTTAGGCTACAAGTATCATTAATGATTTATATATAATACTATGTTTATTCTTAGTTATGGCAGGCTACAGATTATGTTCCAAATTTTCAATTTTATACTTTTGCTAAGTTTTTGGCTGATGTTAGTCCATCTGTTCACTTAAAAAGATAGCAAAGCTTGACTAATATGATTTAGTGGAAAGTGGAAGTAAACTATCACAGCTTTTGGATTTTTTTACGCTTAGTATATACACACTGAGAATACATAGGATGCCATGTCACATTCATAAAATCTAGTATTTCTGCTTCATAAAATGCATAAAAATATCTAACAAAGTCTTAGTTAACTTTGTCTTTAATACCCAATTTAAACATTAGTTGTATAAATATTAAAAATGCCCCAAATCTGTAAGCCCTAACTTTCTCCATTTTATAAAATGGAATTCCAGCATCTACCTCATTGTAAATGGATCTAGTTATGATTTGTCAATTGAAAAGTGGTTAGCACTAGACATTACTATCATGATTCTTTACTGAGTATTTTAAAGGGTTGATATATCATGTGAAATTTTCAAATGAAACTTCTTTAATGATTTTTGCCAGTTCTAACAGTCCCTATGTTAGAAATTCTACCATACATACATACATACACACACACATGTGTAAAGTATCATTTATGTGCTATGGTAGCCATTTCCAAGATGGCTGCCAAGGAACTCTAGTTCTCATCCACAATGGTCTGCACAACCAGTAAGAAACTAAATATTGTACTCTGTGACATTTAAAGCTATTAAGAATTGCAGGTTCAGTCAGCTCTTCTTTTGATCATTCTGCTCAAAGGTTGTGAACTGCAATGTCATAAAAATACTCCCATCCCAGTTGAGATGCCCACATGTGATGTCCCAGTCAGTCAGTCAGTCAGTCAGTCACATGACTAGGACAGGATGGAAAATCTTCCTAGTTTAGTCAAGTATTCATGTGGCCTAGCCAGCATCTTGACTTTAACGTCATCAAAGACTGTAAGCTGAGATTTATCAAGGCAAATTCCTCTTTTTTTTTTTTTTAAAAAAAAATCAAGAAGGCACTATGATTAAGTTTATATGTTTTGGGTAATCCGCTGTGTTAGAACAGAAAATTAATAACTGCAAGTATTGCAGTATACTCATATATGTGTACATTTGATTCCTAGTGACCACGTGAACTACCCTTGGCAAATACACACTGTTCTAAAGTGTGGTTTGTTTACTAAGCTTGTTCTCATGTAATAAAAATTCAAGAAAGAGTCTGAAGTAGTTGTTTCTACAGATGTTCCCACAGGTGGATTTCATACAGTCATTACTGACAAGGCTATGTCCTTTCTTAAACAAAAGAATTGAAAAGTCTAAACAGAGCAAGGAGAATAACTAAAACTTAAGAAAAGCATGACAGTGCAGTCTCAAATACCTGAGGGAAGAGGTGGGGGTTGGGGAGGAAGTAAGGTGTTAGTCTTGCTCTGGACAGTGCAAGGTAAAGGAGGAGAAGAAGGAGATGCTGCGTTATCTTTCATACCATACAACTTGGACTCTTTGGAGAGTGTTCTAGGCAAGGAAGATCCTCTGGAGGCATTAGGTGATTCAGTCTTTAATGTCTTAGAATTGTAATGCAACTGTATTAAGAAAATTCAAAATAAAAATTTGCTAGACGAGGAAACAGCGTGAAATACATTATTTAAATTAAAGAGATCAATCTAGATCATGTTTAAAGTTCTTTTGAGCTTAACAGTCTAAAAGTCAATAATTTTAGAAATTAAAAACATTATCATTTAATAAAGTTACAGTACGCAAACCTACTATTAATATCAGTATCACTTCTTTCTACCAAACTTTCATAGGAAAAGATGTATGAGCAAAATGGTGAGCCACAATTTAGATAATCTCATATTCAGACTATGGCTACATTACGTTTTTAATAAAACATTTTGTTTTTTAATAAAACAAGCAAAAGACAATATATTATAGAAAATAAACACTGCTACTAATGGTCTAGTCTCTTATTCCAGACAATCAGGTTTTTACCTTTACGTCCACTCCAGGAATATAAAACACTGTTGTTTCTAAGTCACTGGGCTTTGTCTGTAGAGAGGATGGCACTTTCTTGCCCGTCATTAAATGAGTGGTAGAAGCATAATTAGTTTGAAATTTTTTCTTTTTTGAAGGAGAATCTTGATCTAAACTCCTAGAACTTCGATCATAACTCCTACAGTTAAAAAAAAAAAAGGGAGGGGTGTTATTTTTTTAAAAAAACTTTCTTTTCTTTTGTTTCAAAACAAGCTTCTATTTACATAGTAAATAAAAAGTAGTAATTAAAAAATTTGAAAAAGGAAAGATCAGAACTTTTAGTTAGATTAGTTAATGTTTTAGAGAAGTGATAATGTTTTATGTTTTAATGCTAGCTATATGTATGTATGTATGTATGATTAATTTGTGACAGGGTCATGGTAAGACTAGGCATTCTCCTGCCTCCACCTTACAAATGCTGAAATTACAAGTGTGCACAGTCATATACAGTTGCCTTTATTCTTTGCTAAGTTTACAACTGTATCACTTAAACATAATGGGATGAACCAAATGCAGCTAAACATTAACAGTCTTTTATGGTTCAATTAAAACAGCCTACCAGTTATTCTTTAGCCACCATTACTATAAGATACTGTAATTGTCTAAAGTGTTTTTTATCCTCTTATTTTGTAAAATTTTCATTTGATAGACTGTTAAAATCTTTTATTTCAGATATATAAAGAAATAAAGGGAATGGAGTGGAGAATCTTTATTGACTATTTCAGCAGCTGTTAGCATTCTTCCATTCCTACATTTCTACCTTCTCACTCTCTAGTAACTATTACTTTATTTTCATAACTAATTATTTGACGAGGAAAGAAGAAAATTCAAGGAAAGAGCTGATGAAATGGCTCAGTCAGTAAAGTATTTTGAACAGCAACCATGAGAACCTGAGTTTAAGCCTCATAGCCCAGAAAATAAATAATGGTGACACACACTCATAATCCTAGTGCTATGTAGTTACAGATAGGAAGATCTTTTGGGCTCTCTGCTCAGTCACTGTAGCCTACTTGGTGAGCTGTTGCCAGGTAGGTTAAAGACCCTGCTTAAAACACAGAGTGGAAGGTATCAGAGGATCAATACCTCAGTCTGCTTCCAACCTCCACACACAAAAGCACATCATAATCCACACATGAATACACACACACACACACACACACACACACACACACACACAATACAATCTAATACCAAATCTGTTTATATCATCATTTAGTTAATGATAGAAACAAGTGGTAATCTTGCAGTTATATACTGAATATTTCTATTTAGTCAGGTCCTATTTGCATAACTGCTTTCAGTCTTTTCTTATTTGTTTGTAAACATCAAAATTCTTAATCAAGAGTCCTGCATTAATTATTCTTTAAAACAAAAATGTATTCAATACAAAGGCAAGAAAAAAAATTCAGGCTTGTTGAAAGACTTCCAAAGAATTCTTCAATTATATATGTGTGTAAGTGTGTGGTATGTGCTACTGGGAATTAAATCCTGTACTCAGACAATAGGTACACTCTACCACTGGGTTAAAATCCTCAGTCTAAAGGTCTATTTTAATTAAAATATTTACCAATCTCTAAATTACATAGTCACTTTTAATTGCATACATACTATTATTAAATAAATACACATTTAGAACAAATATGTATTTGTTCTAAAGAATTGTATGTTATACAAATCTATAACTGTGACCAGTTTCTTTTAAATTAAATGTATAGTTTTGAATAGGGGAAAGTTTGTGATAATTCATGGTATATGAACAGTGTTTCTAGCTAATGAATTCCATGGAGCTTTTCCAGCTAGTCTCTTACCTTCTTAAACTTATATCATCATGCTCCTGCAAAAGAGTGGTCGGGTGGAGGACACATTTCCCACTGTCAATTTCTACCCGTATATCAAGTTCAAAGTCAATATTTCTCTCAGTAGCTGTGCCACTAAGACTTCGGTTGACTGGTGTTGTAGGCCAGCGTTCAGTAAGAAGTTGATGAACAGCAGCAAAGCCTGTGGCTTTCTTACGAGAGGTATGTCTGCAGAAAACAAGGAAGCATTCCTTATAGCAAACTGAAGTCTTCCTAATGAGCTATTTTCCAGTGTAATGTGAGTAATAGTATGCAGAGAAATTTTATTATTTTAGAAAATAATAGAAATTATTCAACTAGTTAACACTAACTGAAGCTTTTTCGCAAGTTTAATGGAGCCACAGTTATGGCCTGACCATTATCTGCTAGTGGATGCTAGGAGATGAAGGCACAGGCATAAACACAACCATTAATGAACGTGAACACCAGTGTACGAACTATACTCTCTGGAAGAGGTCTCATTTCTACAAACTGCAAAATCTAAATGCTGGCTTCATGTTTTTATTTAAAGGCAGAAGAATAGGGAAAGGAAGAGAAGAAAAATGAAAAGGTCTTCGATATGTGAAGGAACTGAACACCACACACAACGGTGATGACACTGATCCTGATGTTGCTCCACAAATTCATTCAAGCTGCTATCACAGCACTCAGGAGGCTGTCAGACTGACTACACAGCAGGAACTGATCCCTAAGAAGAAAAAGTAAAACAAAACAACCCCCAAAACACTCCAACTAGACTAAAGACTTAAATATAAGACCTATTATGGTAAAACTCCTTGGAGGAAACAAAGGAAAAATTTCTATGACACTGATCTTGACAATGATTTCACTGATACCACAATTTTAAAAGCACAAAAAAATAAAAGAAAAAACAGACAAAATTCTATCAAGCCAAGTAAGTGCTGTGTCTCCAGAGCAAAGGAAATAATCAGCAGAGTAAAATGCAGCATATGAATTAAGACAAGATGTTAATTTAATTTCTAAATTACATAAGAAACTCATAGAGCTAAACAGAAAAAAGGAAAAAACCCAAAACCCAATTATAAAAAGAACTTATAGCCAGACTAATCCTAGCACTTGGGAGGCTGAGACAGGTGGAGTTCAAGGACAGCCTGGTCTACAGAGTGAGTTCCAGGACGGCCAGGGCTGACACACAGAGAAACCCTGTGTATCAGGCTTTTTCTTTTGGGCCACCAACCAGCTCTCAAATGATAGAGGCTTTTCTTTAGTTCTGAATGTTCAGCCCAGCTTAGGCACATTTCTGGCTAGGTCTTTTAAGTTAAAGTAACCTGTTTCTCTTTATCTACCTTTTGCCTCAGGGCTTATTACCTTTCTTACTTCTATATATCTTATTTTCACTGCTTCTCTATGGCTGGCTGGCTAGCATCTGCCTGGCTTCTTGCCCAGGGTGTGTCCTTCATCTATTCCTTCTCCTTTTCTCATTCCTTACTCTCTTCCAAAGATTTCTCCTCCCATTTATTTTCTCTGTCTACCAGCCCCACCTATCCTTTTTCCTGCCTAGCTATTGGCCATTCAGCTCTGTATTAGACCAATCAGGTGCCTTAGGTAAGAAAGGTGAAACAAATACAAATACATATTATTACATAATTAAACAAAACAAATGCAGCATAAATAAGTTTACACAGTTAAAAGTAGTATTCTGCAGCATAAACAAATGCAACACATATTTGCCCAGTTAAAATAATATTCCACACCAACCCTGTCTCAAAAAGCAAAAAAGAAAACAGAGCTTACAGTTTAAATAGACAGTTCCTCAAGAAGGCTTTAGAGGTAGGTGGTTTTAAAGGCCCTTCTAGCTCCTTATGAGGACACATTCTCAGTAAGACTTCATACATATATACCTTTTATTTCATTGACACTATCTCATCTCATTTCTTCCAAGAATGACTGGAAATCCTTATCCACTGCTACATACTTACCTTTACTATTTATTATTTTTCTCAACTATATGTTACTTTTCTCAATTATATGTTTCTTTTTATTTTTATTAAGCCCAGGAGAAATATTGTTTTTTTCTTTATTAAACTTATAACCATATCTCTATCTCCATTTTACTGGCAGGTATTATCATGGAGAAATAATTTAAATAAATTCATTTAAATTTTGAGGAAAATACTACCATATAAAGTTAAGTAACATTAGAAAATTATGGATATAAATTTTAGAATTACGCAAAATTTAATACTTTTTAAATTTGTTGTTAAGACTTTATATTTTTGAGACAAAGTCAAATATAGCCCAGGTTGGAGTAGGGTTTGTTATGTAATCTAAGAGGATCTTAACTCCTGAGTCCACTGCTGGGATTACAGGTATGTGACATCATGCTTGGCTTGTTAAATATTAGGCTAGATAAAATGCCTTAGGCTTATGTCGAGATTTTGATACCATCTACAGATCTTAAAATAAAAAGCTACTCACGAGGGCTTCCTATAAATATAGAATCTTTCCCTCTCACGGTCTTCATCTTTCTCATCCTTTTCAGAGTCTTCGCTGGTAGAAGACAGACTGTCATCCCGTCGGCCATCTTCGGATTGGAAAGGGACATTTGGTGAAAAGCTTCCTGTGGTTTTGGGAGAGCTGAACACCGAGCATGATCCTTCACTGTTTGATGAGTAATGCGATGGACCTTCAATAGTTACTGACAAAAGATCCAGTTCTGTCTCCTCTGGAAACTGATTATAAAAATTGTAAATACAAATCAGACTTTTTTCAAACTCTCTCTCAATTAAAAATATGAAAGATCTAAGTGTAAACATTTAGACTCTCTGAGTTGAATTTCCTCATTGTGAACTGAAAGGAAGGTCTGGCTCAGGGACATATATGAAATGGCAGGCACACCAAAGAAGGAGAAAGGACGACCACAGAGTCACCACTGACACCTGAAAGTCACAGCGTCATTTTACTTTAGAGGAACATAAAAGATCACACTTTAATCAGTTCACACAAAGCAGAAGCAGATTATGAGGAAAGAAAAAAATCGACCATAAATCAGAATGGAAGAACAGCCCATGATGAGCACAGAGACTGTGAGTGCAGACATTTTCTAAGGAGCTTCTGTGGACAAATCTCTAAAATGAAACCTTCATGGATTGATGGAAGATATGTAAATATTTGAATAATAAAGCATGTATCAACTACTCAAACCTAGCAATGCTGTATTTTAAGTAAATAACTTGTTAAAATACTGTACCTCTAGTTTGGGATTTTACTGGAGGCCACACTTTTAAAGTGTCCAAACGCCAGCAAAACTTGCTCTGAGCTGATTTCAGTTTTCCAACTAATGCTGCTTCAGTGCCATCTAAACCTGATTAGTCCCAATAAAGTGCAACTAGCAAGGTAATGTAATTTATTATTAAAAACTAGATGTTACTGTAAGATTCATACAAAAATCAAAACAGTAAACATTTGTAGAAATCAGGTGTTCTCCACTTAAAAAAATAAAGGTGTTATTGAATAAATAAATAGATAATTTTAGGACATCTTTCAATAAAGTTGATAAATTTCTGTAGGGTATTACCTCTTTGTTTGATACTTATTTTATATAAAATTATACCTTCATAATCTATTATCTAATTTATAACTTCCAAGTCTAATATTTAATCTCATGTTATCTAACTTAAGGTTTTTTATATAAGTGGGGTATATTATTATTTAAAAATAGGACCTAAATTACCTTCAGTTATTTTTACAGTTAATTGTGTGTGCTGGAGGTGGGGTGGGGTAGGGTGGGTGGCAGCACACACGTGTCAGAGTAAAGTCTTTGTCAAACTTATTTATCAATCATTTTTTTTAAAAAAAACCAATATTAAGCAGGATGGTGGGGGCACACACTTTTAATTACAGCACATGGGAGCCAGAGGCAGGCGAATCTGGGAGTTTGAGGCCAATCTGGTCTATAAGGCAAGCTTCAGGTAAACCAGGAATACATAAGAAACCCTATCTTGAAAAAACAAACAAAACGAAACAAAACAGTGTGAAAAGTATTTTCTTTTATGGGTATATGTATGTGTCTAAGCACATGGATATGCACCACATGTGTGCAAAGAATAAAGAGGTCAGAAGAGGACATCAGATTTTCTGGAACTGGGGTTATAGGTGGTTGTGAGACACCATGTGGGTGCTGGGAACTGAACCCAGGTCTTCTAAAAGAGTAGAAAGTGCTCTTAACTGCTAAGTTATGAGTCCAGACCTTGTATTACATTCTAATTGCTTTGAGATCAAATACAATATAATTATGGAATGCATGTTGAGACTCAAGTCAGAAAAAAATAAAGACAAGGAAACATATTTGGAGTGATTGCCAATTTTCTTTTGTAAAACTGAAATCTGAAAGAAAAATTCTAGGCAAGATTAAATGTCTGGTGTTGTACATGGGATAATGTGTGTGTGTACAGATGTAAATAACATTAGTGATTAGTTTAATGACACATTCAGAAAAAAATTTGGCTTAAAATGTTAAGTATTATGTAGCACATTTTCACAATGTTCTGAATACAGTGACAATTTTTTAAATGAATCTTTTTATTTTTTTAATATTTTGGTTCTAGGAATCAAAATCAGGGTTTTATGCATGACGGCAACTATTCTACTAGTGAATAATATCTCTTGTCCTGTTTTTGTTTAGAGACAGGGTCTCACTAAGTTGCTCAGGCTGAGAACAGAAGCAACAATACATGACTGTATTCTGAACATTTGGAAGCAGAGGCAGAAGGATCAGGAGTTCAAGGCCATCTTCAGTGACACAGAGAGCTTAAAGTCAGTGTAGGCTAGATGAAACCCTGCCTCAAAAACTGAAACAAAAGTCAGTCATTCATGCTGGGTTTGTACTTCCTGTCCTTCTGCCCCAGCTTGTCAAGGAGCTGAAATTACAGGCATGTGTTGTCACACTTGGCTCTGAATGTAACACTTAATAAATACTAGTGCATCACAGTGACTTAAAAGAATTGATAGTCAATGATCAACCAATTTGCTATTTGGAGTTAGATTTGACTTGAATTTGAAGCACTTAACAAAGATTGCTGATTTTAAAATGACCCACTTTGTAGTAAAATGCAAGGAAAAAAGATTGATTTCAGGATTAACAAATTGATAGTAATTGATTCAGTAAACTTCGGCTTTAGAGCTTAAAACCTGGTTCAGCTGATATAATAATCTGATTAAAGTTTATTAATTTGAAGGTCAGGTAAAATTAAACTACAAGTAAATGTAAAACCAAAATGGGGTATTATGAAATACATATAACAAAAAGAATTCCAACAATCTTAATTCTTTACATAAAGTATTTCTGAAGCTTCAGCTTAGCTTGAAAAGACATTTTGAAAGCAAATTTTCAGGGCATTAATTAGTTTTAAAGTAAAATTTTATGCTGTTTTTATAAGTACCTGAAAGTACCCTTCCCCTGGAGAGCTGGGCTGTGGTGAACTTCCCCACACTGTGTTTTTCAACTTAATTAAAATAATAAGAAAAGAAAAGAAAACTCATGAAAAATAAAGACAATATAAACAAATATTCCCCAAATAAACATTTTCACATAAATTTTGAAGTGCTATAGTGTATAGCTCTGAAGTTGGCATTTCTTCTAGTGTCTACTATTTATAAATTATGAACTTAATACATAAATGAGTATGTATTTCACATTAATAACTGTGTAAAAGACACAAATTATTTAGCGTAGATCTTCACTAAGAAAACTGCTCAACAAAACAACCCCATGTAAAAGCAAGCAGCTATGGGGTTTTTACTCTATACACACTTGGTCATCTGCAGTGTAGGTGTTACAGGCAGAGTCTGCTTGCTGGTGGTGCAGATACTTCACCTATGACAACTTTCACTTTCACCATGGGCAACAATTTCTATTTTTAAACTTATTTTTAAATTTCATTTCATTTTTTAAACTACTAAGCAACACAAATTTCTAACAAGTACTGTCTCTCTTACTGTATCCTGGATGTTAAAAGTTACTCTGGGTCCAGGAGATGCCGCATCCACACGGATTTCTGGAAGTTCATCAGTTTCTCCTATTCGAGAACTATAAGTAAAACATAGTTATAAAACAAGCATAAATATATAACACAAATATAAAACACTAATAGTCTCATTTAAAAACCCATGACTTTACAGAAGTCTTACTAATGACATTAACATTCTACGTCTAAATATTGACCTTATCAGATGATTTAATTTTTGGAATCCCATACATTAGCCTAGAACAAGTGAAAAAGCCTCGATGTTTCTTTCAACTAACTTTACATTGTCTAAAACTAAATCACATAAAAAGGATTTATGTTTATTTTTATTTTATGGAGACAGGGTCTCCTATGTCCCACGCTAGCCTAAAAACCACTGTGTAGCTGAGAGAAAATGCTCTTGAACTTTTGATCCTCCTTGCCTGTCTGAAGAGCTACCATTATAGGCATGAACCACTCAATTTATGTGGTACTAGGAACTGAACCCAGGGCTTCATATATGTTTGGCAAGCACTCTACAACCCACTTCAGAAATATACATCTTATTTTTATAGTGCTGACTTAATACTAAAATGTGTTTTTAATGTGTACAATCATCTTTCCTAAATTGACTATTTAGAAAGCAACTACCAGTATGTAAATTTTATTTTCTTTGGATTATTTGTAAGCTTATGCATAAATCATATCTAAATAAGTTTGTTTTACTAAAATTTTGTTACTGCATTGCAGAATAAACACAGTGAAGTTTTCCTCAAACAAATGATGTATGATATTAATTACTAATAAAGGTGATTTTTTTATTATTATCCAGCTGGAACACAGTAAAAAAAAAGTACTGAATCTTAGTTGGTTAGAAGCCAGTAATTTTATAATTTGTCTTACTAGTGGAAATATGTATTACCTTGCTCTTTCCATTCTCTTAAGAGGTGGTCTTCCGGAGGCTGAAATGCTCTTTGATCGGCTATAACTTGGTTTGTAACCTAAACCCCACTTATCCTTGAGGGAAGCAGCCTAATAAAATGATAGAGAAAAGAAAAAGTGATTCAAGGCAATTATATGAAAATGTGGTATTTCACTTCAGGAGACTTAGCTGACATCTGGCACAAATGTTAAGTACCACAGCAATCAGCTATCCTGATGTCATGACGTCCTTTAGGAGGATGAGACAATGGCAAGAAGAGCTACTGGCTAACTCAACAGCAAAGGAAAAGATTGAGGAAGGGAAGCAGAGGACAGAAACAAAGTGAGAATAAAGGAAATAATTAGAAGAAAAGAAGGGAAAAAGAAAATGAGCAAAGATCCCAGGGAAAAGCTAGGTGTGTGTTGAAAAGAGACCACTTTATCATTTCAAGGACCATTCAAACTGCACCCCTGCTGCAGATCTCTACTTCACTGTAACAGAGGAAAGAGACTGGGACACTGAAATGTGCTAAGGTGCTGCATGCTAAAAGGATTCTGATACAGCTGAATATTCATGAAATCGTACAGATCAAAGGGGAAATGCTGAGTGAGATAAGTATTAAGACAGTAGATGAAATTTCAATGGTATCTTTAATAATTCTATCAAGTTTTATTTTCAGCAAACCAGATAAACTACCTTAGAAACAAAACAGATGTATTATTTTACTTAGTGTATGGCTTTCAGTATACTTTAAAATATATAATTATGTACTGCTATTATCGAAGTCTATTACTCTCAGAGAATATCAATGGATAAATTAAAATGCATTTAATCTTTAAATAATTTAGAGTAGAACTTGAGAAAAGTTCTCTGGCAGTTAAAAGTGACTGAGAGATCACCTACAATCTCCCCCCCCCCATCCCTACCCTTCTTTTGGAGCTGTTTTTATTTTATTTTTATATTTCCGGTTTCTAGTTCCATGAAAATATGACCATACAGAAAGTAATAATCCTTCCTGAGCTGTAAGAGAAGGGCAAAATGCTGCACCAAGGATTTGGAAAAGCAGGTAAATACATAAATGGGAGTTTCAGCTGATAAGAACAGAATTCACAAGAAGAGAATGTCTTAAGGGCAGTGCCGGGAAATCTAAGGCTCAGTACAAACAATTCTGATAGTTAAAGATGCTCCCTGGTAACAAGGTACTCCTGCAACACAGTGAGATCTTCCTCAGGAGTTTGACAAGATTCCTTCAATAAATACCAGCGGAAGGAGCTCTTCAAGTTTTCAGCAAAGGGAAGAGGAAAAAAACTATTTTGAAAATCACCAGAGTATAGTTGTACTGAGTATGACCAAATTTTCATATGTGCAAGTCTCTTATTTAAAATGGGTTAGTACTTGTATATAAACTACTCGAGAATTCTTGTATTGTTGAATGCCTAGATTACTTATAACACCTAAGTATGATAAGAAACACAAGATAAACAGTTGCTATAGTATTCTGTTTAGAGAATAACAAGAAAAAACTCAGTACATGTTCAGTATAAAAGCAATTATTTTTTATAAATATTTTTGATCTGTGACTGAGCGAGTTCAGGAATGTGGAACCGACAAATACAAAGTGGCAACTGCAAATTTCTACTGAGGCCTGTCCTTAGTATAAACTACTAAGAACCCACACTGACCTGGGTGACATTATCACAGTATACCATGAAAAGAAAAGTGAGATACTGAGGTCTAATCAGCAATACCCATATTGTCTCATCAAAAGAGGAAGGGTGACAAAGGGACAAATGTTTATGAAGTTCACAGATCTAATCACAAGACACTGTAGCACTGCAGCCCTGGAAGAAGTTTTACAGCAGCTCCTTTCACCTAGGACACAGCATCTAGCTATCAAGAAAGAAAATTACAAAACATACTAAAGGCAAAATGGCGTAAGATCTGAAGAAAAAAGTCAGAAGCAAATATGACAAGAGTCTATCAGATTAGGATACTAAAAGCAGTTTTAATTAATGTGTTATGGCCCTCATGGATAAAAGACAAAGACTGCAAGAATGGACATTATAACCAGAGATGGAAATTCTAGTAATAAACAAAAACCAAAACAAAACAGTAGATATAAATATACTTACTATCTAAAATGAAAAGAATATTTGATGAGCTTATTAAATATCCTAATCTGATAGACTCAGTTAAAACTATAAAAGACAAAACTACAAAAAAACCTCAAAAAACAAAAACCAGAAGACAAATGTATAACAGAGAGCAAAAGCAATAGGAAACAGAGGAAAAAAGTGGATGTTTAATCCAGTGTTATCACTAATCATTTTGAATATCAATGGTTTAAACTATGCAAGACAAAACAGAATCATAAAGTGAAACAGATGATTTCACCATCATGGTTGGAGATCTTTTATCAGAAATGGACAGACCCAGTGCACACAGAAAATCCATATGTATATAATTAAACTCATCAGTATATCCATTTTATATACACACACATATATATATATGTATATATATATATATAAAATCAACATCTACAGAAGACTTCATTTTTTTAATAGCACACACAAAATCTTTTTAAGTCAACATGGAACATTCACCAAGACAGTAAACATTCTAGGCCATAACATCTGCCTTAACAAATTTAAAGGACTGAAACTATATAATGATTGCTTTCAGACTCCAATATAACTTAACAAGACAGTATATGTGTCTTACCTGAAAATAAAAATGCATCAAGACTAAATAACACACTTAGCATGGGTCAAAGAAGTAATCAAAACAATTTTTAAATTATTTTGAATTAGAGGCAGATAAAAATAAAAATAAAGATTTCTGATAGGAAGTAAAAGGAGGGCTCAACTGAAAATTTACAGAACTAAATGGGTATTTTAGAAAAGAAGATAGATCTATAATTAGCTGTCTAGATTTACATGAAAGAAAAGTTAAACAGGAAAAACATGCAATAATAAATATTTCAGCAGAAGACAATGAAACAAAGAGGAAATCAATAAGCAGATGTCAACCAAAGAAATGTAGTTCAATCAGTGAGCCTCTAGAGGCTTAAAAGGCAGAACTCACTAACATCAGAAATGAAGCAAAGTACATAATTACAGATCTTAAGAACACTGAAAGTCAAAAATACTCGGAATATGGTAATAAATCTGGATGAAATTGACTTTTTCTTTGAAAGATATAGTTGCCAAAATATACACAAGAAGAAAAAAGTTCTGAATAGACCTATATTTACATGCAAATGAGTACAGTGGCAAATTACACTGTATGTTTAAGGAAGGTCATTTCCTATAGCACTCAATGGGGCCACTATTACCACAATATCAAATCTAAAAGGACATTGTAAGAAAGGAAAATTATGAACTGGTATCTTTTGTAGCAGACCAAACCAAATCCAAATAATTACACAAATTACAACTAAGTAGAATTATCCTAGGTATTCACAGGTGATTCAACACTAAAAATTCAATTAATATAATCCACTATATGATCAAGCTAAACAAGAAAAATAATGTGATTATATTAATGGATACAGAAAAGGTATTTGACAAAATCCAATAGCCCCTAACATTAAAACCTAAGTAAACTAGGATTAAGGCCAGAGGTCAATGTTGGGTGTCTTCTGACTTCTTGAGGCAGGTCCCTTAGGAGAGTTAATACTTACCAACTGGGTCAACTGGCTGGCAAGCAAGTCTCCACCTGCCCAGAGGCTGGGGTAAATTCAGGAGCACAATGCCATACCTGGTTTTTTAAGTGGGTTGCAGGGACCTGAACTCAGGTGTTCATGCTTATGTAGCAAATTCATTTTATCCACTAAACCATCTCCCCAGCCCCTAGAGGAGTATTTTTAATCGGGTAATTAAAAAAATATAGAAAACTGTAGAGTTAATATATTAAGTAGTCCAAAACTCCAAACCTGCCCACTAAAACAAAAACAAGACAAGAAGTTCCCTCTGAATCTAGACTACCCCCCAAAGGCAAGTGTTGCCAGGCTTTGTTCCCAGCCCACAACAGAACGAGGAGGCAGTTGAGACGAAGGAAGGGGAAGCAGAGCTGCAAAGTCAGATAACTGTGAGCTTGACGTGGATATTGAGACCCTTCTGTGGCTGTTTTTGCTGTTCTTCCACCCTCCATGATCCCCCCACCCCAATCTGTATCTCTCTTTCTCTTTCACTGTTTCCTAGCTACCATGAAATGAACATGTCTCTGCTATACCTTTCTGTCATGATACCACCATCAACACCAATCAACAGGTTCAAGTGACATAGACTGAAACCAAAATCAGTCTTTCCTTCTTGTCTGTTGATTATCTCAAGTATTTTATCAGAGTAAAAAAAGTCAGTTAACACATTCCCTCTCACCACTACTTTTCAACACTGTCCTACAAGAAATACAGATTAGGAAGGAAGAAATAAAGTTCCCTCTCCCTGCTCACAAATGTGACACAAATGGTCTATGTAGGAAATATAGAATTGATAAAAATTGTTCTGGAACGCATAAACAAGTATATCAAGATTATAGTAAAATTAAGTATATAAAAGCCAATTTGCTTTCCTAAATACCTGCAACGAGCAAAGAGAATGTGAAATTTGAAACACAGTGTCACTTATACTTGCCCAACCAAAAGTAAAATATTTAAGTATAAATCTTATGGAATGTGTACAAGAACTATTACATGAAGAAAACTACAAAACTCTGATGAGAGAAATCAAAGAACTTAAAAACTGGAGAGATACTTTAAATTCAGTATTGTCAGGTATAATATCGCTTAAGATCAGAAATGAGAAAGAAGCACATTGTGTTTTTAGGACATTGAAAGTACTGTGCATGCAAGAAAGAATGCCATCTTAGGTTTGTCCCAAACCACAGAATGTACAGCACTAAGCAGGAACTCTCCTGTAAACCAGCAGCCTGGGAATTGTGAACCTGTAGTGCATTGGCTGTAGTTAAGTGCAATACTTTCAAGGAGAATTTTAACAGCGGCTGATAAAATATATGTGTGCAGGAAAATTGAACTTAAAATTGTTCTAAAAATTGTGTTTTATTAAAGATACAGCAGAAAAGAGAGAAATTGTAGCTTAGAGGTAAATATTAAAAAATTGGAAGCAAAGGCATGGAACAAGACTGCACATTTCTGAGAGCATACATTAGAGGGTTCATGAGTCCATGAATGACAGGAACAATACAGTGACTTGGGCCTAACTGCAGAGTTCCGTTGCCCAGTTTTGACACTTGATTCTATCAGCATTGCTGGCTATATGAATTTAATCAAATTACTTGACTTCTCTGTGCCTATTGTGACTTCATAGAACTATTGTGGAGCTTTATAATGTAAAGTGTTTTAAATAGTGTCTGCTATTCAGAAATCAGGTGGTATTATTATCAGCATGAACAAAAACATTTTATCATTGTTAGATTTCAAAAAGGAAGCATCTGAAAACAGTCTTCTAAAACTTTTAAGTATGTACTCACTCGCATACTGGATCTCCGTAACTTTTTACGAACATCTCTTCGGATGTCATTCACAGCCACAGACTCCAGCTGTTGGTAACGCTGAATTTCCTGGTTTATGGTTCCTTCACTTGCACCCAATTTTCTAAAGGAAAACAAAACAAAACAAAATCAAAAAGAAAAAGAAAATCAAAACAAAACAAAGCAAAACAACAACAACAAAACCCCACCAAAATGGAGAGAGGTTATTGTAAAGAAGGAAGAAAGTAAAACTGATTTTCAACTGCTCCCTTCTAGTTCTTCCACTTGTTAGAGAAGCAAAGAACTATGTCTGGATGGGTCAAACACCTGCAACTTTAACACTCATATCTGTAAAATTAAAAAGACCCACTTGTTGTGATGTACACTTGTGAAGATGTATTTGTTGTGATTGGTATAATAAAAAGCTGAATGGTCAATAGCTAGGCAAGAGTTATAGGTGGGATTTCCAGGGGGAGAATGAGGAGGAATTGAGACCAGCGAGAGACACCAGTGGGATTCTAAAGTAGCTGGATATATGGTACAAATCAGAAGTAACCAAGCTGTTAGACAGAATCTAGATTTTAAAAAAATGGGGTAATTAAATTACAAGAGCTAGTTGGGAAGAAGTCTAAACTAAAGCCAAGCTTTCATAATTAATAATAAGTCTCCATGTGGTTATTTGTGAGTTGGTGGCCCAAAGAAAAATCCATCTACACCCACTAACATCTGAGGAAAGGTTTTTATACTCTCTACCCATTGATGTAGCAAAAAGTGATAGCAATCTCATGCAAATCAAACACTGGCTCTGCAGAAAAATGTATATATGATTTTGGAAGACTAATACATTCTGCCTCAAGTTATTTTTATACCTGAGAGTAAAACTCAAAATGATGGAAAATATGAAACATTACATGATAATTTACAGACAAATTCTAAAGTCACACCTTTCATTTTCAAAACTCCTGTATTTGTGAGAAGTCATGATTGAATAATAACAACAAAATCCCCACAGGTATAAGTATTTGAAGATTATGAAAGAGGAGGCATGGCCACCACCTTTGAGAAAATGTAAGCTTCAAAGCTTAGCAAGAAGAATATTTATTCTTGCACAAAAGGTACTTAGTAAAATTACAATACAACACATGTAAAAAAAACAAAAAAGGTTACTGATGCTTACTGCCTTACCTCTACTATTGTTCTAAAGAACTGTTAATATCAGCAGGCAAGATTAAAAACACACACACACTGACTTTGAACTTGTATTTATAAAAGCACAAATCTCAGTTTTTTATTCTGAGATAGTTTTCTCATCAGTACATTTGGAAAAAGCTATTTAACCTTACAACTGCATTGGGAGGTTCACTGTGAGACAACATGTCACACCAGAACAGGTACCCATAAATGCTGATTATTAATTCCTCAAAAAAAAAAACCAACTTCTAGAAACAGGGTTAGCAAACTAACATACACACTCAACTATGCATGTAAATACAAGCAAGTATGGACACACACATGAGTTGTATATACGTGATATAAAGTCAGCCATTTACTTCATAGAAATGAGGAGTTTTGAAGACATAAAACTAGGATTCCAAGCTTCACTTTATTACTCAGAAAATTTACTGTACTTTGTGGAGCACTGCTGACATCACTGATAGACTAAAAGGTTTCTTCATCTTTAGCATCCTATTATTCTATTTTTAGGCAATGCTATATTAAGTTAAAAACCAATGACATACTTAAGATCATCTATGACTTTCGCCTGTTCATTCAGTTCTCTGATGTCCACTAAACGCTTCATAATCTTTCTTCCTCTGGGTTCTCCTGGCTGGCTAGATGATGTTCCTTGTCTTCGATAATCTACAGTTTCCTAAAAAAA